GGGACAAGACTGGTCAAGATCTATAGACTTAGGCCCTGGAAATAAAGAAGGACTTAGCTGCTGGAACTGGAGAGTAAGGGAGTGTATACAGGCTTCTTGGAGAAAATTTGTCAATAACCAGCAAAGTAGAAGTTATGCATAGAGTATGAAGCAGTAACTGCACATCAGGATATGTCATTTTCTTCCCTTTCTTCATAAATGCGTGAGAAGCCATGTATAAGAACGTTCACTGAAACATTGCTTACTATCGCAAATTTTAAAAGAAAAAAATTCAGAAATATTTATTAGTGGTTGGAAAGATAGACAGTGGTTTCTTCATAAGCTGCAGTGCTCTACAGCAATGAAAAATGGATGAATTAGGGCTAGATGTGCCACCATGGGTAAATCTCAAAACTTGAATGTTGGGCAAAGTAAGCAAACTGCAGAACATACATCCTGTATAAGGCTTACGTAAAAGTAAAATACTCCAAAAGATTATATGTTGTTTATGAACACAGATACTTGTTAAATCTAGTAGTGGGCATATCATTGGCATCTCATTGTGTTTTCCCGTGTGCTGGAAATAATTCATTAAAAAGGCAGGAAGAAAGAACGAGAGAACATGGAATGGTCTGCTAGGCTGCAGTAACCTGAGCGGAAGCACAGAAACCCATAGCCTGTGGCTTTATACCTCTCACATGTCGCCTTCCAGGGTAGCTATGCATTCTGATCTCCAGAATGGTCAATGGCAGGTGTGATGTTTCCAGATTTCTGGACATTTCAGTGTTGGGAGCACAGTGTCAAGATTTGGGAAATTAGCTTTGAAATAGGAGAGAAGGGAGCCTGTTTCCTCCACGTGGCCCCACTGGCAGGTGTCTCAAGTGACAAGGTGGAGGATGGTCTGCTTTCTTGGAAAAGTAAGTTCCTCAGGTGCAGCGGTCTCTGGCAATGGGGTGGAGGCCTCTCTCCCAGCCGCTCCTCACCCCAGGCAAAGGGGGTCCCCATAGCTCTGTGGTTAATGTGGTGTGCAGTGTCCACGCTGGAAAGGACAGAGTCCAGGGCACCTTTAGTCCCACAGGCGGCCTGGCTTCTTAAGGTGTCTTCAGTGAAGACACCTGTCTGTCACCTTGAGCAGAAAATGCCCAAGGCACAGAGGAAGCTGATCTATGGAGTATCTTTTGTTGGAAAGTCCCGACTCTTGGAGAAGCAGCTACTCGGAGAAGAGCAGAGTCCCTGTGAATCTGTGGTGCAGCCGGCAGAAAGAGAGGACTATGTGGTGCTAAGCATACTACCTTTGATGAGATTTATTTGGATTCTGGAAGGAAGTTTGTTGTGACGTCAGTCATGCAGGGGGACCTGAGAATTCAGCTCTTTACAAAAGTAAGATGTTTGCTATGTATAGAGTGAGGAAAGTTTGCTGGTTGGAAAACAGCTAAGCACTGTGTTGGTGGCATAAAGATATTTAAGGTCCAAGTGGGGCCTTATGATTATTGGAGTAAAACCTCTTGTATTTGATGATGAGAAAATGGGGCTTGACAGACCCTCTTCTCTGCCAAACTCTAGTCAGGACCCTCTGAGTGCTTTGTCAACAAGGCCCTGTCCTTGGGTGTGTTCAACTTTTACCCAGTTTCACCATGAATCCTGCTAAGCCCGTTTAGCTAGAATCCCCCACCCTCAATATTTGATTGAATTCCTCATCCCCTACCAGGCCCTAGGTGATGTCTGATTACCCTGGCATGCCTTCAGTAAGAATCCTCTCAGGTCAGTTTAGAAAAGAATTACTCTACCTTCTAGTAATGATCCATTCACTGACTCCCACCCTCTCTTTGGCTGTAAATTCCTTGCTTTTTGTTGTTTTTAGAGTTGATCCCAGTCTCTCTTTCCTATTGCAGAACCCCATCACAGTGGTCTCTATACTTATTGCCATTTCCCTGAATGAAGTCTGCCTTACCATTTTAACAAGTGTCTGGGTAATTTTTTTTCTTTAACAGGCATAGAGAATTGGTTTGTCCAGGGTAACACTTGTGTATGCTTTAGAGTCTAGATTTCCAGACTCCAGATTCAATGTTCTTTCTCCACACCATGTTATCTTTAGGCCTTTAAGAGTACAGAATCAAGAAGTGATTCATCCTACAAAATATTTTATTTGGGTTAATAAAAGTATGCACCTGACTGCCTCTAGAGATTAAGGTGTCTCCTCCCTGCTGTGGAGAGGAAGGGAGCTTGGAGTGATAGATCATTTAACCTTGATGCTAGTGCATGTGAACTGTAGGTCCTTCCCTGGCACCAGATGCTGCTAGACCTTTCCAGTTGTGCCAGCATCCAACTTTATGAATTTTTCTAGGTAAGGCTATGTTTTGACTTGCTCCCAGATGTTAGCAGTTGGGCAAGAACTTGTGACCACGCATTCATTCTTGCAAATAAAGACAAAGCAAAGCAAAACAATACACAAATCAGTACATTCAGCACTTGCTTTGCACCAGAAGTGGTGCAAGGCATTGGGGCTGTTATAAGAAATGGCTTTTTCCCTTAGGGACTTGTAGTCAAGGAAGAGATCCCAGAATAAAAATAGTATGACTGAAACCATAGGATAAGTGCCAAAATAGAATTATATACAAGGTGATATGAGAACACAAAGGAAATCTTGATTAATTTCCCAGTGGGGAAGCTGGAAGGAGGGTGATATTGGTGTTGAGGGTTGGAGATGAATGCACCAAGAAGAAGAAATAGAGCAGGAATCGTTCAGGCAAAGGGAATGATATGTGTAGAAATGGAGGGAAGTGAAAATGCAAGACATTCAGGAAAGTTTAGTGAGGCTGGAGAGAAAGGGACAGGGAGCAGATGGCTGAAAATGAGTCTAGTAAGGAAGATTAAAGCCAAATTTGACAAGACTAAGCTTGGAAGCTACAAACTCATTGTGCGTAGGCAGTGGGTAATTACTACGAGGGATGAGATGGACAGAGTTGGGAGGTTGAAATATAGCCTGATGACAGCATGGAGGATGGTGGGGCAGGGGAGAAGGCTAGAAGAAGAGCATCCAATTGGGGAACTATTGCAAAAATAATGATGCATGAGCCACAGCATCAGGGTGAGGATGAAAAGACCAAGGGTCCAAGTTATTTAGGAGATAGGATCATTAAGACTTGGAGACTGAGCTGGGTTTAAGAGATAAAGGCAAGGAGAAAGATTAGGCGTGATTCCCTGTGCTTAAAGGTAGACAGGAGACAGAAAATAAGTCATTTTGAGGTGGGGGCTGGTTATAAAAGTTACCATAGCCACTGACCATGTGGAGCCAGTAGCCTAGGGAGGGATTTGAAATGCTGATGTTTGTTTATTCAGTAAGCATGCTGAGGGTATATGATGTGTGAAGCCTGGTTCTGTACATTTTGGGGAAAGGAGAAGTGAATGTCCTTTTTGTTTTTATTTTATTTTTTTAACATTTCATTATACCTACATCCTTTTGGGAGGTTTCCCATGTGTTCTATTTTTGCATATTTACAAAGATCTTGTAAGACTAAATTACTCTGATTCTTTTATTTGAGAAACCTGAGGCTCTAGCAGACTAAGTAACTTGCACATGGTCATGCAACCAGAGAGCCGTGGATCTAGCAATGAAATAGAGATTTTGCTATGCCCAAAGTTCATGTTCTTTCATCTCACCATAGCATTCTCTGTGGTTCCTTGCCCACCGGGAGCTTATGTGGTGCTAGGGGAAACAGAACTTAAAGAAATTCAACATAACAATATCAAAAGAGCCGAAAGGAGGCATGGACAGTGGACTTTGGGCATGTAATGGGTGGGGAAGCTTGTTCTTGTGCAGAGAGATGAAAGTGACTGGTAAGAGGGCTAGTGAAGCCTTAACAGAGGTGAAGGTGGGCATCCAAGCTGGGTGTGGGGACATGGAATTTGCTAGATTAGATGGGGGTGGGGATAATTCTTAAAGGTCATCAAATAGTACAAGCCTTGGCTACTAGGCTTGTAAAAATAAGATGTAGGCCAGGACAGGAGCAGATTCTGGTGAGAAGGTGGATGAAGAATCCAGGAAAAGGCAGTTACTAGGGGAGGCACCCAGCTAGAGCTGGGATCTGAGACTTGAGACAGAATGCAGGCACCCATGAGGTTGGGTGACCATAGAGGAAATAAACTGACCTCTGATTTTCTAAAGCCTGGGTGGGAGAAGTTTCGTGATCTAGCCAGGGAAGGCAATGAGGGAAAGACGAGTTGGGGAGCTGATGATACCGGTTGTTTGAAGAGGGAGGGGGGCAAGTGAGGGGTGGAGTTGGAAAGTGAGGTAAAAAGCGTGATAGCGAGCCTAGCTCCTGGGGCCTCCCTGTTTGGCACCTCTTCTCCTTCCTCCACTATGGAAAGGTGGGGTGGAGAGGAAGGAGCCTGCCTTTGTTCTCTGAGACCTGACTTGTGGCTTTGGTATAAGGTCAAAACCCTGGAAATGAGGCCCAAAGGACAAACAGGGTAATTGGAATAATGAACTGTTGGCAGTAGTTCAACAACATTGACTTTTCACCCTGACACACCATTGCTCCTCTGTGAAGGCTCACACCCTCTGCCTGCTGCGGCCTGATTTGGCCACTGGACCCTAATGGGCTTCTTTCCACCAGAGGGTCCCGAGCCTCAGGCTCAGTGGAGGGGGCATGAGGTTGGCTGGACTCGAGTGACCTCAGGAGGCTGTCTGGCCTTGCACACAGCTCCTTGTGCCCCTGCACAGCACCAAGAGGGACACCTGGGCTGAAGGTGGAGCAGGAAGTCCCCAGCAGCAACCTGTACCCACAGTCTCACAGAGGGCAGAAAAGGAGGTCTCTGAGAAAGGCTGGGAGCAAAGGGGACTGAGTTTAGGTAGATGCAGTGGTCTAATTGCTCTTCTAAAATTAATGGGGCCTTTTATCTCTGAATCACACCTGTGATTTGGGAACAAAGGTACGAGTTGAAGGAGAGCCTGGCTTCCCTTTGAATACACTCTCCCATTTGGTGAAACATCTCTCCCTTTGTTTCTCTCTTACCTGCAGATCAACAGACTATGGCACCACCTATGAAAAGCTGAATGACAAAGTAGGTTTGAAGACTGTCCTCAGTTATCTCTACGTCAATCCCACCAACAAAAGGAAGGTAAGACTAGGGGTCAGGGGTCCTGACCTCTCCCTGGGGATGGGGAGTTGTAGTAGGGCTGCCTGGGACCAGGAGTGAAGAAAACCCACAGCCGTGGAATCAGAGAGGGCCTGCTTGATATACCAAGGAGAACATCACAAACGCTGCTTATAATTCTAACAACTGCCTCAATACTAGTAATTTCAACAACAACAGTAAAATTATATAACTAGTAAGGTGTTCCTCTGTGCCAGGAATGCCTTATCTTGTTTATGCTCACAGCAGATCTATGCGCTAGACATTATTATTGTCCCCATTTTACAGATGAAGAAACTGAAGCTCAAAGATATGAATTTTCTAGCCTAAAGTCAGACAGCGGTGAGTAACAGCTTTGTGATTTGAGGATGGATATGCTTGTTTCTTGAATTGGCTTCTTCCACAGTTGCCCTGTTGCTGGTCTGTTTTCAGACAGCGCCTTGGAAACGGGGAGTCTGTTTCTGCCGAGGGAAGGAGAGGCAGTTCCTGGATTCACCGACTTGATCTAGAACAGCTGCTGAGGCAGGAGAGAGCAGACCTGGTTCCGGTGGCCCCTCCCCTCCGCTCTCTGACTTTCCAATGGACTCAATAGCCAGGATGTGGAGGAGATCATATAAGGCCAGACCTTGGTCATGGAGACCCATTGGGAGGAAGGGTCCTGGATTCCATGGAATAATGGATGGTTTTAGAAAATAAATACTGTGTAATATGTTGGCTCTGGGAAGAGGTGATCTTACTGCAACTAGGAAAGCACTGCTCTTTAGAAACTTAGGCAGGCCGAGCCCCTATAAACATACCAGCGTTCTAAAAGGCTGTTTCAGGGTTTCTAAAAGGCTGAAAATGTTATGGAACCAGGCTGGAACGCCGGCGGAAAAACCAAGTGGCACTTGGAGATCTTGGTGGATCAGATATGTATTTAACACCGGTGGGCACAGAGGAGACCGTTTCTCCAAAGATCTGAGCCCGAATGCAAGTGGGAAGGGTAATTTATAGTTGTCAGCTTCCATATCTGTGGGGGTTTTTGTGCATGCAGCAAACAGGGCAAGAAGAACCCAGAAGAGGGGTCTCCAAGCTAGAGACGAGAGCTTATTTTAGTCCCATTGGCCATTTTATGGTATCAATAAAACATACCAGGGTATTTAGTATATGGGGGCCGATGGTCACAAGTAAAATTAAGGAAAGGAGGGGCCCCTTCCAGGGCAGGGAGCCAGGATGCCCAGTCTGTGAGATCCCATCCTCTCCATTGACTGATATTTTCCTGTTGTCTACATTGAATTCTTTCCTCGAGTTCCTTAACCTTAGTCCTGACGATTCCTGATTGGTTTACAAAATGGCAACATTCCTCCCCCCAGAAAGACACAAGTCCCTCCTTTTTCTGAAGTGAGGGGGTGGAGGGCTTGCCTATTTTGGAGGGACACTGCTGCCAGGGAGTTTGTTTGGCTTTGTCAGGTTACCAGGGAGTCTGCCATCCGTTCCACATCCAGCCTGTTGGTGCAGTCCCTATTAGCCCAACAGCAAGAAGCAAGATTAGGGTTATGACACCAGTAAGGGGCAAGGGCTGGCCGAGTTGCGTCCAAATCCCTGGGCTGAGTCCACAAGTTGATTCCTCAGGCTTTTGCCATGCGCAGGCCAGCCAGCTTCCGGGGTGTGGCTGGAGCAGCGCTGGAGATCTCAGGGGCCAGTGTCTTTTTGAGGGTCAGTTTAGGCGGGTTGACTGGATCTGGATCACTTTGCCATGTTGAGGGTTCCTCTGAGTTGGCCTTCTTAGCTCTGGAGTGATCACCATGGGGTGATACCCGAAACTGAGTCCTCTATTTGGTTGTGTGTCTGTAAAGTCCACCTCCAAGTCTTCGAAAGGGGTGGGTTTCTGGTAACTGTCAGATCAGGTTTAGGGAAGATATGGTTTGCATATGTAGAGATCCATCCTGTTTTCTAGCTGTTTAAATAATCATATGCCCATAGGGTCTTAGTACTATCCCCACAGAATAACAAGCACAGAAGATTGTCTATACACGAAATACTGTGACAATTTTTCTGAAGTTTACCTCAAGTTGTCTAGTTTAGGCAAACAACAAACATTTAAAGACAGAACTAGAATTTAACATCCTTAACGGTGCATTGTTGAAACATAGTCTTTTTATTTTCTCTAAACCAGCCCCCCCCCAACCTTTCTAGAGATAGCCAAATTGAGACCAATGCATTTGTAGAACAAGTCCAGTCTTAAGAATCCTGGCCTAATTATTTATGCAAGCTCACCAATAGCGATTGATCATGAGGATCTTTTAAAGTTTGCTTTGCTGGAACCTTTTATCAGGAATCTCTTGGTTGAACTTTTAGTAGCCTCTCCAGGCCAGAAGCCAAGCCAAATACTTGCCATCAGACAGGCCTGCGATACCTGTACAATTGGGAAAATTCCTCTTTATGAGGTCCCCAAGATATCCTGAGGTTCCTGCACCTGCCAGGAAGTGACCTTCTTTCATCACCTTGTGAGGCTGCTGGGAACTCTGTAAGCAAGGTATCAGGCCAAATTTCCAAGGGGCTCTATGGCCCCATGTTTCATAAAGCCAACCTTAGTTCCTTAAAGCTGTCTGGTCATATCTGAGTCTATGAATGTCACTCTCAAATATGACATTCCAGTCAAAGCCTTGATAAAATAACCAGTATTTCCAATGGTCATCTGTTACAAGATGAACAGATTCTTATTGAACTTATGCAAACAACTGTAATTGCCATGAAAGAAAGAATACTCACTGAGAGTTTTTGAATTTCAGGGGAGTTATGTAGAGAGAAAAGATAAATGCTTCAGTTTACAAATGAATATTTTATGACATTTCTGTATATCATAGATATCTTAAGAGAAAGTTTCCTTAATCTGGAAGAGAAAACATCAGAGAACAAGCAGTATTTTCAACAAGAATCACAAAACTATAATCTTCCTTAGTTCATTTAATCCCATGTTCCTAATTCTTGTTCAATTTGAATGCAGCTTTTTAGTTCTGGAAATTCTTACCCATTTTAGTATTATTCTTAAAGACGTCAAATACCTGTATTTGTCCCTGAAGTCCTTTTTATAAATCTCCTTGAAGAAGAAACACGTTTTGTGGGAGAATAAGAACAATTATGAATGACAAAATCTCAGAAATAGACATTGTTAAAGATCTGATGAGAGTTCGTTATGATGCAATTGACAAAGAAATTCGGTTATTTCTGTGACACATAACACTTCAAGTAATCAGAATATTAAGTGATGACCTTATACCAAAACATTAAAACTTTAGGAATTGCATATATATTTGGGCAGTTACAGCATTACCTGTGCAGTACAACCTAAGGTTTACCATCGTATGACAGTGCCTTTCCAAGTAACTTAGTATCCCAAATAAAAGGGCCTAATTGGTCAAAAGACTTTATTTGCCATTCAAATCCTGGGAAGTTTGGTAAAACCTTAGGAAGTTATAAGTCCATCCTAAATAGGATTACAGATCATTACAAACCTTAAAACTTTATTTAACCAAGGTGGCAGTAAAAGATTCTAAAGGTGAGTGTATGGCATTATATAGTTGTTACCGAAACCTAGCTCCTTTAACATTGAAAAGTTTTAACTAAGTAATCAAAGACCTGATAAAGATGAAACATAAAACTTTGGTTTTCCTGGAAAATAAACCTTTGTTTGCATTGTCTTACCAAGAGCAGATCAACAGTCCAAGAAAACTTTGTCATTTGAGGAAAGAGAAAAGCAGAATTTTAACCTTATACCAGTGTACTTTTAAAATTCCATTTATCTCAACCTTCTACAACTTTCCTTTGGCTTCAGACTTTGTCCTAAAGCTATTTCTCTCCAAATAACCAGTCTCATTTAGGACAAAATTACTTTCTTCTACCCTCAACAAAACTGTATATCCATTCCTGATATCTTTCTTACATGTCTACTACTTTCCTACATACAGGGTTGCTTTCCTTATTTCCATCAGTCTTAAGTACACTTAGCAGAATTTTAACTCTTAGGAAACTTTAGTCTCCAATTGAGGACTTAGTGACCAACTGAGAGGTGTTTGCAATGAGAATTTTTTTAGATGGTAAATTCATGAACCAATTAAGTACAAAGCATGTTTTCCAATAGGTCCAAAGAGCCTTAATTTCTCAGCAAAATGAAGTTAAAAAAACAAACCTATGTTCAGTAATCAAAGCTTTAGCATTTCCATCCTATTTGGAAAGTTTCAGGTTACTAAGGACCTTGAAAGTTATCTCAACAATTACCCATGAAAACTTTGAGACAGACAAAATTAACTATCATTAATAAATTGCAACAGAGATAACATGAGCTTATTTGACCTTTGCTGATAACTTTAAAGACAGGGCCAACAAACTTAAATTAGTTTCAACACTGAATATATTTCACCTGCGTCCACTAAAAAGTCCATCAATTTTTCCCCATTGTCAATTTTAACCTGGGGCACCAGTGGAGGTATCTGAAATGGGTGGTCCTAGAGGGTGCACTTCGCTCCTTGACCTGGAGGGTGGGAGGAGGAACCAATGGTGCCAGAGGCACTGAGGGTGGTCTAGGACCACACCCAAGTTGGTGCAGAAACATGAGGGGGAGGGGAAGGCAGAAGAAGCAACTGCTTGGGAATATTCCTTCAAGTCTCCATCCCCAGGTAGACTAACCACAGTTGGCTCCAATTACAGCTGTTAACCTGGGAAATGAGGGAGAATCCCTCACATCTATTAGGCAGAGGAACAGGGAGAGGGAGTCAGTGTCCCTTTTAGTCTGATTCTATTTCGGCCAGACCAATAAGGTCCCCTTGAGGTTCCTCCTGATACCGGCTGGGTTTCTGGGACTTTCCCTGGTTGGGACACTTAATCTTTTAATGTCCTTTCCCCTTACAGTAGGCTCATTGACCCCTTGCTAAGGAGGTTCTGGGCCTCCCCGCTTTTGGTGGCTAGACCTTCCCCGTCCTTTCGTTTTGGCTCTTTTGTGCCTCTGG